TTGTTTATTTAGTATCTTTAAGATGACTCATTTCCTTTTTACTTAAAATTTATTTTAAAGGGGAACTGTGCATCACCATGGTAAATGGAAAAATAGAATCCTGTGCCACAACTAGGAGGCAAATGTAAAAATAAGCACAATGAAAACAAAACAACCTAATTAAACTCAGCCTGTTGCCTGCCAAAGGCATTGACCCCCGGCCTTCCTGTTTTTCCTAAGAAGAAATATCAGCGGGCGTGAAAGGCACCCAGCGACACGCGGAGACTTTCTCCTCCAGTTAGCTGGGAGGCAAGAAGAGCTGGCATGGGAGGGACTTTGTCCTCGAAGGACGGGGCATTTAATGTCCAATCTCTATCCTGAAACCTGACTCATCACACAGGAAAATCACCCTGCTGTCCTGCACTCTGGGAGATTGTTCTAGAGCAGCACTGCCCAGCAGACCCTTCTGTGCTGGTGGAGATGTTCTCCCCCCACACTCTCCAGACAGTAGCCACCGGCCATGGGTGGCTATTCAGCACTCATAATGTGGCTAATGTGACTGAGAAGCCAAATCTTTCATTTTATTGTCTTAATTAATTAAAATCTAAAGAGCCACATGTGGCTAGTGGCTGTGGTACTGGACAGCACAGCTCTGCTAAGAAAGTTACATGTCTAGGCTGTCCAGATGAATTTATGTTCATTTTGGGATTATTCCCTTGACTTCCTTGGAGAGGGATCTCACAAAACCTGACAGTAACACAGTTGAGGACCGTCTACTGTATCCTTCATTATGGCTCTAAAGCCCCGTGTGGAAATTTCTCTTAACGTTTCGTTTGAGGAACTCTGTCATGAACAATGGTATCCAAATAACCACATTTCCATTTTCACACTGGTTGCCAGGAAGCCCATAGGAAATTCACAAACCAGTGAGAGCAACTGTGTAGGACCTCATGATATACATATATGGTTTCCGATTTTTCCTTTTAAACTCCTAGTTTGCATTTTCTCTGACCCTGACATTTTATTTTTTTCTTTCATTATTCTTTTCTATAAGTTTCTCTAGAAGCTGTCTGAAATCTTTTGTGTAATTAAATAACATTCATTTTTTTAAAATCCTTAAAGGAATACTGTCCCATGGTACCAGTGTTTTAAATGAGTTGCCTTCTATCCAATAGCATTTACATAAAAAACACTGTAACGAAGGCTTTCTAAAATGCTTCCAAACACATGCTCAGACTTTGCTCTGGAGGAACGAACCAGAGCGTTGTTGGCTGAAAGCCGGAAAGTAACTACGCGCGAGGGGTGCTACTTCACACGCTCCAGCGTCAGGAAAGATCCAGAGACAGAGACGTGGTTTTAGGTTGTTCCAAGTGGTCTGGGAGCCACCAGGCCTGTGGCCGGCTGGACTCGGGACCACGCCCAGGAAAGCTCTCACACAGGAAGGACGGGGAGAGAGTGGCTTTGACGCCACGGTGACCACTGTGGAAACGATCTCCTAGGCAACGGCGTATTTGCGGGGCCCCTCTCATAGCGGACCTTCAGAAGCTAAAAATTGCCACGTCTCTTCATGGGGTGAGGAGGGAAAGTCAAAACCGAAAGGTCAAGGAAACCTCTCAAGTGGTATCACATTTTAATTTTGCTCTCCAATAAAGCTGTCTGCTTCGCTTTTATCATCCTCCAGGCGGCACCTCCCAGATTTCTGATGACCGCAGAGCAGAACTTGAAGGACACTCAAACATAACAGGCCCTTTTTTTTTTTGGTTTGGGATAAGAAGAGAAAGAAAGGCCTGACGCAGTGGCTCACGCCTGTAATCCTAGCACTCTGGGAAGCCAAGGCGGGTGGATCACTCAAGGTCAAGAGTTCGAGACCAGCCTGAGCAAGAGCGAGACCCCGTT